TCTCTCTCTCTCTCTCTCTCTCTCTCTCTCTCTTTCTTTTTTTTTTTGAGACAGAGTCTCACTCTGTCACCAGGCTGGAGTGCAGTGGCATGATCTCAGCTCACTGCAACCTCTGCCTCCTGGGTTCAAGTGATTCTTCTGCCTCAGCCTCCCAAGTAGCTGGGACTACAGGCATGTGCCACCATGCCCATCTAATTTTTGTATTTTTAGTAGAGATGGGTTTTCACGATGTTGGCCAGGATGGTCTTGATCTCTTGACCTCATGATCCACCCGCCTCGACCTCCCAAAGTGCTGGGATTACAGGCATGAGCCACCGTGCCTGGGCGATTTCTATTTCTTTAATAAAGTAGTATGAAAGCAGATTTTCTGAGTAGGAGGGATGGCAGGGCCTGAAGAAAACTGTTGAATGTCTTCTATGAGCAACGTACTGAATAGGCACTTTGCGTACACTTCCTTGAAACCTACGATAGCACTATGAAGTTGTTAAGATTATTCCCATTTTGCTGATACGAAAACTGAAGCTGAAATAGCTATACACTTATTTATAAGCCCATATTAAAATTCAAGTCTCAAAACCTATACTTCCTTCCGTATGCCCCATTATTGGAGTAGTTGTAGGAAGTGTTTAGAAGATTTGAGAGATGAAGGCAAATATCTAGCAGCAGCAAGGGTCTAGTGAGGGTGAATGAACTTGAGCTTGCTTAAACCCAAGGTACTAAGTTCTACAGCTCTGGGAAGAATAGAGCAAGCAAAAAACAATGGAAATCCAGGCTTTGTGCCTGATACGATAGAGGAAGTTTAAGTGAGGAGCGCGTAACCAAGGCCTGTTGCATTGAAGGGGACATTCATTAATTATTTCAGGTTACTAAATCTAGTCTCTTTAACAAGATTGGAAACCTCTCCCTGTGCCTTGCAAAGTGCTAAGGACTGATTCAGCACTTACTGACTCCTTGTGAAATGGTCAATACAAAACAATGTGGGAACTGACAGTAAAACAGAGATTTGTGCTAACGAAATCCAACATTGTATTGGTGTTGATGCACTTTGCCTGTTAAGATGCTATTAAGCCAAAGGAAGATTTAATTAATAATAATAATGATGATAATAAAGCTCTTTGTGAAGGAAAATCTGGCTTGATAGACATGCATGGATCCTACAACTGCGGGAAATCAAATAGCCAGTCTTTGGTGAAACAAGACTTTTGGCTAATTTGTTCCCTTATATTGTGTTGCTCTAGGAAGGAAGATTATGATTATGAGTATTTTGCAGTACAATACTTAGTTGTGCCAGGCAGTGTTCGAAGTACTTCACATGTTCTAGTTCATTCAATCCTCATAAAAACCCTAGAGGTAAGTGCTGCTTTATCATAATTCCCATTGTACAGACAAGGAACTGAGGAGAAAACAAGGTAAGTATTGTAGCATGCCCAAGAGCAACAGCAAATTAGTGCAAATTTTTAATTTACACTTGATGGTCAGCTCCTGAGTCTACATTCCTAACTACTTTGCCATTCTCCAAATTTTGACATTTTCCATGTTATAGTCTAGGTAGCTTCTTAGCGTTTGATGAGAAATATGAGTAACCCCTTAACAAATCGGAAGTGCATCCATTCTTGGTGGTCAGATACATTTCCTTTTATTTGACACCTGTCCTGTCAATTGTGTTCAGAAGGAAATCCTCTTTCTTACTCATTTGTGTGACATTTGTACCTCAGTGGCTCTTTGGAAAAAATGTTCAAAACCTAAAGAAAACTACGATGACAAAGGCTGGCCTCATGTGTCTTTCCATAAACAACAGAGAGGCTAAGTCTGCGCACTGTCAGATTCCCCCCTTTCAGCTTTGACCAGTTTCCCCTCATTTAGCTTTAGAAATGGCATTGGTGAAATCTTTAAGAAAGGATCTTAACCTTCTGACCATTGTAAAATAATTCCTTATCAAAAGAATAATGAAGCATGTCATGTTTACCTAGGACTTAAATTGGAAGAGATACTGCAGTTGGATTATCTTTACATTTGTATACTCAAAGGCAGAAGACACACTGGAGTAGTTTTGAAGGAGCGATACTGTCTCATGTTTAGTTTCTAATATCAGTAAGTAGAGACCAAGAAATTGCTCCTGATGTCTTCTTCCTGTCTTAAATATATTATTCAGAGACAAGAGAGACTTAGATTCAGTATAGAACATTCATATAGAGTTTGTATTTTGTCATGATAGCCTTTGAAAGTTTGCCTTTATAGACTGGACAGTAGGAGGCATAATATTAATAACATTTTTTTTCTTAAAGAATAATTTTCTAGGACTTTTAAAAGCTATAATTTAAGTTTTATCAAATGTTCTTAAATACCTAAGCCAGTGTTCACAATTTGGTTCATTCTGATTTAAGGACATTGATTTTAACTGTTCAACTACCTTACAGAATTATTGATACATATAAAAACGTATTCTAATTGTAATTTGCTTGTTGAGCTTCCAAACCAGAGCATTATGTCTGACATATATAAGGATTTGGTTAGCTGTTATCTAGTTAAGAATTTAGGGTGGTCCTGGTGACTCATGCCTATAATCCCAGCACTTTAGGAGGCCAAGGCTGGAGGATCAGTTGAGGCCAGGAGTTCTAGACCAGCCTGGCCAACATGGCAAAACCCCATCTCTACAAAAATTAAAAAAAAATTTTTAGGCATAGTGGTGTGAGTGTGCTTGTAGTCCCAGCTACTTAGGAGGCTATAGATGGGAGAGTAGCTTGAGCCTGGGAGGTCGAGTCTGCAGTGAGCTATGATTATGCTACTGTACTCCAGCCTGGGTGACAGTAAGACCCTGTCTCAAAAAAAAAAAAAAAAAGAGAATTTATAATACCCATGAAATTAAATTTTGTTGGCCAGATCGTTGCCCAACAAAAAGTACCTTTTAAAGACATTTTAACATCTCTTGTTTTGTATTGCTAAGTTTGTACACTTCTAGAGGAATAGTATAAGACAGATCCTTTTAATGATACAAATATCCTAGTCAATAAGCCCACATATGCACATATGTTGCTATACTTCCAGTAGGTAGATGTGCACATGCATAATTCTCTCATTCTACATTGTTAATGCATACACTTATCATTTCTATTTGTCCATGTACTTACAATCTCACAGTATAATCAATATACTACATCTATATGCTAAAGTTTTGTAATAAGCATTGTAAAGTTTAACATGTACTTAAAATTTTTCTTTTAAAATTTCTAAAAACACAAAATGTTTGACAAATGGTGCTAGGTAATAGATGGGTAGAATAAACCTTGAGTTGCCTGACAAGTAGGAATTCCCCACCTCAAGTTTCTGAATTTTATACTAGAATTATTTTAAACATATGTGGTTATAAGCTTATCAGATTTCCAAAAATGAACCTTCTATAAAAATCACATTGGGCCCCTCAGCTGTGTTTTCTTCCATTATTTATGGACAAATTAAAAACAAATGTTTTTTTTCAAACAAATACAATGAACTGAAAACAGCTGTCAGGATGTGCTTTTTCTCTAGAATTCATCTGTAATACAGAAGTGTAGTAAACCAGCACTTAAGTCTCCTGAAATCATGCCATATTTAATGGTTAGCATTAATTTAGAGATGTAAGTATTAATGCTTGCTGCAACAAGACCTAAGTGGCTCATTTAACTCAGTGAAGATTATGATTAAAGCAAGTGACATGGGGCAAAATGCAAATATTTCATTTTGGACTGTCTTAGTTGCAAATATATTTTATAAAGAAGAGACTTTTTGAAAATTCATTTGAAGTGTTTTAATGAATATTATAGAGATGCTTCTGGACATTTCTCTCCACAGCTACTGAAGCCTGGAGTGAATGCCTGACTACTATACAAGATCACAGAAAAGGCAATGAGCAGAAAAGCTCAGAAAATATATGCATAAAATGTTGCATGGCTTATCCATCTGCTGTAAACATAAACATTTATTTTATTTCATAAAAACATTTCTCTTAATTTAGTAAAAACAAATTAGTAAGAACTTATTTTAAAATTGAACATTTAGTCTATGAAGACACTATGAACTTTTTATAACCTAAAATAAAATCATCATTTTTAAATGTGATACCTTAAGAAGGCTGTTACATCAGTTATATGGAATTATTGCCAGAAACGCATTATCTGAGTTTAATCAAAAGAAAATATCAGACAACTCTAAATGTGGAGTATTCCACTTAAAAAAGAAGGTGAGAGAAAACGAATTCTCCAAAAATGTTTGTACTGGTCAGGTGTGATGGCTCACACCTGTAATCCCAGCGCTTTGGGAGGCTAAGGTCAGAGGATTGCTTGACTTCAGGAGTTTGAGATGAGCCTGGGCAACATAGGGAGACCTCGCTTCTATAAAAAAATACAAAAAATTAGCCAGGCATGGTGGTGCACACATGAAGTTCCAATTACTCAGGACACTGAGGCAGGAGGATTGCTTGAGCCCAGGGGTCTGAACTGCAGGGAACTATGATTGCACTACTGTTCTCCAGTTTTGCACACCAGAGTGAGACTGTCTTGAAAAAAAATAAGCTAATGTCACGAAAGACAAAGGAAAGCTAAGGGAATTTTCAAAATCAAAGAACATTAAAGAAACATAATAACAAAATGCAATACGTGATCTTAGACTAGATTTAATTCTGGAGGAAAAATGTTATAAAAGACACTGTTGGGTAAAGAGACAAATTTGGAATACACATGACTGATTAGATAGAAGTATTGCATCAATGTTAAATTTACTGAAGTTGGTAGCTGCACTGTAGTTATGTAAGGGGATATCCTTATTCTTAGGAAATACATGCTGAAGTTGGGGTAAAGGGCCATGAGGAATGCAACTTAGTCTCAAATCTTTCAGAATAATAAAGAAAATGAGGCAAAATGTTAACAAGATAATGTGGGTAAAAGGTGTATGGGTGTTCTTTGTATTACTGCAACTTTTCTGTAACTCTGAACTTATTTCCAAACAACAATAAATAAGTCTGAATTTATTTTCCATTAAGTCTGAATTTATTTTCAAATATAAAATTTAGCTTCCTTGAGAAAAATTGATTTCCGGGGACCATAAACTCTTCTGAAATAAATGCTGTTAGAGAAAAATTATGCTAAAACCACTGGATGTTATTAAATATTAGTTGAATGATCTCTGACTGAATGAAAGAATACAACTGGTGTTTTGAATTACTTTAGATTTTGGTTTCAAATTCCATAGTAATGGATATGAAAAAATAAGCAGACTCATTGACTAAGTCTTTCAGTGACCGAAGCGTTTATTGTACTGTACACCTCATTTTGTTGTGCTATAGGTTTCAAAGGATTTCTTTTGTTCTGTGTTTTTGTGTGTGTGTGTTTTGTTTTGTTTAGCCGGCATTTTGCTCTTGTCACCCAGGCTGGAGTGTAGTGGTGCAGATCTTAGCTCACTGAAAGCTCCACCTCCTGGGTTCAAGTGATTCTCCTGCCTCAGCCTCCTGAGTAGTGCACCGCCATCATACCCAGCTAATTTTTGTATTTTTAGTAGAGACAGTGTTCACCATGTTGGCCAGGCTGGTCTTGAACTCTTGACCTCGGGTGATCCACCTACCTTGACCTCCCAAATTGCTGGGATTATAGGCGTGAGCCACTGTGCCTGGCTGGATTTTTCTTTTGTAGTCTCACTCAGCTTGTCATCAATCTCGAAAAAGTCTAGTAGTCCACAAATTTATCTTCATGAGAAATGGGTCAATTTTTTCTTATGGTCATATCTTCTTTGCAATTTCATTAAAATTTTCACCTGTAACATATCATGACAGCACATTTTAAATATTTTAAATTACTTTGGAATTGCCAATTGAGGAACCCAAAGTCTTTTACTTTACTTACTCTCTCTTCCCCTAAAAAACATACAGTGTTGTTCCTATTACAAGATGCAAGAAGTGAAGCTGTCTACCTAGCTTCCTTCTTTACCTTTGTGTTACCAATTGCTCCATGGTCACTTATCTCCTTCCCATCTCTTTCCTATTTGTGATTAAATTGCTTATAAATATTCAAGTGCATTAAACAATATTTTATGCTTTTTATAAAATCAGCTTAAAATGAGTGATGAAAGGGCTATGGAATGGGAAAATGTTATTGTTCTTGATCATGCAATTTTATTTTATTGCGTTTTTCTTGACTGGATGGGAAGATCGTGATGACATGGTCTCTTCTAAAACTTGCTATACAAAATATGTCTACAGACTAGCAGTGTCAGCATCATCTGGGACCTGCAGAATCTTAGGTCACAAGCCACATGTAGTGAATAGCAGTCCACAGTTTAACAAGAGCCCTATGTCTTCTGTATGTACATAAAGGTTGAGGAAGACTGATTAAACTTCAAAGATATTCTAAAACAAGTGTTTTAGAATCTAGAGGATCCAGTGGCCTAAATTGTCTCACTATAGGATCAACTTTGAGAAGAATAAAAATAATGGGTGTTGTGTCTTGTAATACCTTACTTTCTGATTATTTGCTACATTTTTTTTCCATTTGAAGACACCCCAGTCTTTTTAGTTCTTTTTCTCCCCCCCACCCTTTTATTGATTGTTTTTATTGTTTATCCTAATCTTGGTGTTGTGTTTTTCCTAGAAATAGTTGTCTTGGATTTTTTTCATCATCTGCCCACATAATTACCCAATTTTTTCCCCATTGTGGTCATGGAACATGTGCTTTATGATTTAAATCCTTTGAAATTTATTGAGTCATATTTATGGCTCAGTATATGGCCTATCTGGGTGACCATTCTGTGTGCACTGGAAAACAAATGTGTTTAACAGTTGTTGGGTGTGGTATTTGGTAAACATCAGTTAATTTGATCAGTTGTGTATTTAGATGGTTTTTATCTAGCGTGATTTTTTATACTTGTTCTATAAAGTACATTGAGAGAGGGGTGTGAATTTGTCCTCCTTTGAGTCTTTGCTTCATGAATTTTGATGTTCTGTTATTACATACAAGCATATTTAGGATTGTTGTCTTTCTGACAGATTTCTTCTTTCATTATTACATATAATGTCTTTATTTCTTATAATACTTTTTTAGTAGAAATCTATTTGGCCTGAAATTAACATGGCCACTCTAGCTTTTTTAGACTTACTTTTGCATGGTATGTTTTGACAATCTGTTGCTTCTAAGTCATCTGTTTCTTTATATTTAATATGTGTCATTTGTAGATAGCATATAGTTGGATCTTTCATTTTTATTTGGTTTGACATCTACCTTTAAATAGGGGTGCCCTGTCCATTCCATTTACATGTAATATGATGATTGACATGTTGACATGCTTAGGGTTAAGTCTATCATCTTTCTTTCTTTCTTTTTCTGAGATGGAGTCTCACTCTGTGGCCCAGGCTGAAGTCTCAGCCTCCCTTGTAGCTGGGACTACAGGCATGCGCCACCATGCCTGGCTAATTTTTGTAGTTTTAGTAGAGATGGGGTTTCACCATATTAACCAGGCTGGTCTTGAACTTCTGAGCTCAGGCAATCTGCCCGCCTTGGCCTCCCAAAGTGCTGGGATTATAGGCGTGAGCCACCGCGCCCGGCCTCATCTTTCAATTTGTCCCTTCAGTGTTCTCCTCTTAGTCTTTTCCTACTTCTGTTTGGTTAGCGAAAATACCATGGTTGGCCTGGACTCTTTTTCTTTTCACCTACATCAGGAAATTTTCCCTAGGCGAGAGCCGAGTGATCATAGGACTCACACTGTAGGGTTCTATCCCCTCAGACATCACTGTCTTGCATTGCTTGTTGACTATTTTCTGAAAACAAATTGTGCTCAATTTTCAAATCGTGTTCATAGGAGTTAAGGCTACTTTGGTTCCAGTTACTCCATCACAGCTGAAAGCTCCTGTAGTTTTTATACGGAGGAATAGAGAGAATGAGACACTCTTATTTTTATGCTTATTTAAGGATGAGTGGCCAAAAATTGGCTGAACAAGTTTGTTCATTAAAACTTTTGTTTAATGTCTAGAGTTTAATAATTTCCATTATTACATATTTATACTCCACTTAGGATATGAGCTTTTCAAAATAATTATTTTATTATCATGTTGTTCTAATATAAATAATGTTCTATCTAGGTTATTTTTGCTGTTGTCTTCATTGTCTTAGAAATATTATTTAAGAAAAAGTAGTTAAATATTTTTGATTAAGCAATATTTGTTTTAATTTATTGATACCAAATAAAAATAACACAGTTTAATGAGCTGTCATAGAATACTGTTAGAGGATAAAAAGAATGCTTGCAATTTGCATTTGTACTTCCTTGGGAAGCTGTCAATGGCTCTGTGAAGTCTAATGTCAATCTAACAACCCATTCTTTTATAAATAAAGAAGGGCTACAGTTGAATACATGTATATGGCATAATGTTTGCAGTTGGGTAAGACACAGGATTTCTGATGCTAAAGCATCCTAAGTACTTCTCATCAAATTATTTTTCTTTTGTTTCTGGGAAAATTTGCAGCCTCACTGTAAAAATGAATCTCTTTAGTAAGCCATTTCTTCCCCTGCCCCTCAATTTTCTCCAGAGAAAGGGGAGTCTTTTTATTTTTCTAAAATAATCTGAAATTTTGTGTTATGGACCTAGTATCAGGAGTTTTTAAATCTTTTTTTTTTTTTTTTTTTTTTGAGACGGAGTTTCGCTCTTGTTACCCAGGCTGGAGTGCAATGGCGCGATCTCGGCTCACCGCAACCTCTGTCTCCTGGGTTCAGGCAATTCTCCTGCCTCAGCCTCCTGAGTAGCTGGGACTACAGGCACGCGCCACCATGCCCAGCTAATTTTTTGTATTTTTAGTAGAGACGGGGTTTCACCATGTTGACCAGGATGGTCTTGATCTCTTGACCTCGTGATCCACCCGCCTCGGCCTCCCAAAGTGATGGGATTACAGGCTTGAGCCACCGCGCCCGGCCAGGAGTTTTTAAATCTTAACGAAGTATGGCCTAACCTCAATTTGTAACAATTAGGTTGGAATTACGACTATTGCCCCAGAGTCTCTTCAGAGACAGATGAAGTAGAGGACCCTAGGGCAAGGCAGGCTCTTCCACTAGTTTTTCAACCAGGTGTGGGATTTGAATCTATTGAAAAGGTGTTTAGCTTCACTAGTAGTCAAAGATATGCACATTAAAACAACAATGGAATACCATTTCCCTGTAAAACACAAGGGCAAAAAGCTTTTAAATCCTAATACTCAAACCATCTGAGAGTAAAGTGAATGGGATAGCTCTGGCTGGCGTGCAACTTGGTATTTATTTTCTGGCAGGCAATAGAGTTTCAAAAGTGTTTCTGTCTTGGTATGTTCACCACGCAGTTATTTATAGTAAAGAAAAATCGGAAACAACTAAATAACAAGGGAACATTATATTTTCTGAGATTTTATTTATTTTTTGAGACAGAGTCTTCTCTGTTGCCCAGCCTGGAGTGCAGTGGCGCGATCTCAGCTCACTGCAACCTCTGCCTCCCAGGTTCAAGTGATTCTCTTGCCTCAGCCTCCCAAGTAGCTGGGACTACAGGTGTGCACCACAACGCCCAGTTAATTTTCTGTATTTTTGTAGAGACGGGCTTTCACCGAGTTAGCCAGGATGGTCTCAATCTCCTGACCTTGTGATCCGCCCGCCTTGGCCTCCCAAAGTGCTGGAACTACAGTCGTGAGCCATCACGCCTGGCCCTATTTTCAGAGAATTTTAAATAACATAGGAAAATGCTGTTGATAAAATACTGGTAAAAGCCAAAAACTGTATGTTTAGAATTAGAATTGTAATAAAAATTCAAAGTAACATTCTAGACTATTATGTCGTATGTTGTAATAACAAAGCAAGTTAAAAGGAATGTGCCACGCACCTGAGTTCCAAATTAAGATTCCTTTATTAATTAGCTGTCGACCCAGAGACGGCTAATGCTCAAAGTTCTCTCCGCCCCAAGGAAGGGGCTTGATTTTCCTTCATACCTTGATTTAGGTAGGGGAGGGGGAGCCTAGCTGAAGCAGAATTTTACAGAAGCGGAACAGGCAAGTTAGCTAGTAACCAGGGGCAAAGAGTTTCCTAGGATTGTTGGTTGCTAAGGGTATTTCCAAACAATCACCAAGGTGGGTTCAAAGAGAGTTATGCACAACAGCAGGTGCGCTTGCCAAGCAGGATGTAGTTATATTGGTTATATGGTAGGATAAGCACAGACTCAGCGTGACATAAGCACAGCGTCAGGGTGGCCCAGTTATGCACCCAAAGGGGCTGTGGTAGGGAGGGGGAGGCTAGGTTGGAGTTTACAGCTAAGATGGAGTCAACGATGCTAGCCTAGGGAAGGTTATTACAATATAGATATGCATAAATATGTAAAAGTAGATTTATAGATACATGTTTTTTTCAGTCTTAGAATTTTGAAAATATTTGTTTGTTTAGCAAGAAATATTCCAAAATACATAGGACAAATAATTATCCATTTGAAGATCTCCAGGGATGGAAATTCCAAAACTATTAAGAACAGTGTTTATAACTCTGGGGGCTAAGAATATTTTTTTCCTTAAGTTTAGTTGAAATCTTCCTAATTTAATTTCTATCCAAGTCTTCTTGTCTGGTCTTTAAAATTATGAATAAGAATATTTTTCAACATTCTTTTCCTTAGAGAAAAATGTGAAGAAACTACTAAAACCACATTAGCCATATCTTTTATAAGATTAATATCTTTATTTTACTCTTACGATTTACGATTTTACCAATTTTTAAATGTCATTTTCTCCCTTGAAAGTCTACTGGTAACTGTACCTTAAGAAGCATCAGGAGGAACCTGCAGCAGAAAAAATTTCCTGTCATGAACCCCTTTCCCTGCTTATTCCCTCACATTAGTATTGAAGACTCTCAGGGGATCCCAGTATTAGCTGCAGTTTTCTGTTTATCCTGGATGATTTAACTGTCAGAGAGAGACAGGACATATTTACATATGCCAGGAACATGCCATGTGGTAGCCCTGTCCAAGGTGCTTGACATGTATTACTTCATAGAATTGTACAAAAACCCTGCCAAGAATTGATCATTGTTCCTATATTAAGAAAAGGACGTTGAGACTTATACAAGTTAAGGAATTTGGCAAATTCCAATAGTGTGTATACATCAGCTTGATTCAACTCCTGATCTCTCTGAGCTCTTTCTGCTACACAATGTAGTTTTGTTTTACTTTTTAAAAAGAATAAAAGCTCAATTGATTCTTTTTTAGCTTGATCAGGCGTATTTGAATTAGCATTTTTAGTATGTCATTAATGCTTTCACTTCAGCAGAATTTACTTTTCATTGACTTGGATTATAATGAGTTAAAACTCTCAGGGCAATGACAGTTTTCTGTTTGCCTGTCGTGGTAGTTACTTAAAATTCTGAGGTTCACACAGAGTTACCTACGGTCACCTTTCATGGCAAATGGAAAAAAATAGCGATCAACCAGCAGGATCTGAAATATGACTCCTAAACAGCCTGACTGCTGACCTACCAGGAAATGTATGACCAAGTTCAAGGTCAAGGGTGTCACAGATACCAAAGCTCTAGAATCCCCCTGATTTTTCAGAAGGGGGTCATGGTGGTGGGGATAGCAGTGAACAGTGGGGTCCCTCCCAGGCCACAACACCTGTTCCTTTTCTCTTTTTAATAATTGAGGATGACACTAACGCTGCAGAAAAAAGTACCTTAAAATTATTTTTTAAAACTTACTGTGAAATGATTAGGCATATAGAAAAACATAGATAATATAATAAATCAGGAGTGTCCAGCCTTTCGGCGTCCCTGGGGCACATCATTGGAAGAAGAATCATCCTGGGCCACACATAAAATACACTAACACTAATAACAGCTGATGAGCTAAAAATGAACACTTCACAAAAAAATCTCATAATGTTTTAAGGAAGTTTACGAATTTGCGTTTCGCCATATTCAAAGCCATCCTGGGCTGCATGTGACCCACGGGCCATGGGTTGGATAAGCTTGCAATGAATGTTGGCATTCCAGAATTCTGCTTAAGAAATAAAGCATTAGAAATACAAGTGAAACTTTTTCTATATCCACCCCAATCTTATTCTCATCTTCCCTCTTCCCCAGGGGTGATGTGTATGTGAGATTTATGAGTGTTAACACTCATCGCTTCAAGTCATTTGTTTTCACTCCTGTGTAGCATTCCACTATATGAATATACTATAATTTATTTACTTACTTTCAAATTGATATGCGCTTAGAAGATGCGTGAGCTTGGTGAGGAATGTGTAATTAGATGTGAGTTATTTTCAGGTCCTTTTTTTCTTTGGGAGATAGGTACACAGAGGTTTATAACATTATTAAGTATAATTAAATATAAGTTGAACATTCATAGCCCAATGATAATAGGTGCCATAAAGCAATGAGCACGATTAATCGAATTAATGTACAACAGATTGATACTAAAAATGGCAATTGCATTAGTTTGCTAGGACTGCTGCAACAAAGTACCACAGACTAGGTGGCTTAAACAACAGACATTTCTTTTCTCATGATTCGGGAGGCTAGATATCTGAGATCAAGATATTGGCAGGGCTGTTTCTTCTGAGGCTTCTCATTGGCTTGTAGATGGCTGTGTATCTTCCATGTGCCTTCCCATGGTCTTTCCTCTATGCCTGTGTCCCAATATCCTCTACTTATAAGGACATCACTGAAACTGGATGAGGGCCCACCCTAATCACCTCATTTTAACTTACTTACCTTTTAAAGTCCCCATCTCCAAGTATAGTCACATTCTGATGTACTGGGAGTTGGGACTTCAACATACACATTTTTGGGGACCCATTTCTGCACACAGCTATTATAGACAATGCTTCAGTGACATCCCTGTAAAGGTCTCCTTGTGCAAATAAGGGAAAGTTCCCTGGAGAATCCAGCTAAATATGGAATTGCCAGATCATATAACAAAACGCTATTAAGTGAATGATGATGTTGATGCTTACACAGTGCAAGTTTGAAGAAATAGCAACAGTAGTAGCTAGCACTTTTAAAGTGATAGAGTTAGGATATCTCCTCCAAATCTCATGTTGAGATGTAATCCTCAATGTTGAAGGTGGGGCCCGGTGGGAGGTGTTTGGATCAAGGGCGCAGATCCTTCATGAATGGTCTGGGCCACCTCCTTGGTGATAAGGGAACTCTTGCTCTCAGAGCTGGTCATTTAAAAGTATGTTGCACCCATTCCCACTCTCTCTTGCTCCTGCTTTTGCCATTGTGATGTGCTTGCTCCCCCTTCACCCTCTGCCATGAATAGAAGCTACTGGAGGCCCCCAAAAGAAACATGCCACTATGCTTCCTGTACAGCCTGCAGAACCATGAGTCAATTAAACCTGATTTCTTTTTTTTTTTTTTTTCTGAGGTAGAGTTTTGCTCTTGTTCCCCAGGCTGGAGTGCAATGGCACGATCTTGGCTCACTGTAACCTTCGCCTCCTGAGTTCAAGGAATTCTCCTGCCTCAGTCTACCAAGTAGCTGGCATTACAGGTGCCTGCCACCACGTCCAGCTAATTTTTGTATTTTTAGTAGAGATGGGGTTTTGCCATGTTGGCCAGGCTTGTCTTGAACTCCTGGCCTTGTGATCTGCCTGCCTTTGCCTCCCAAAGTGCTAGTATTACAGGCGTGAACCACCATGTGCTGCCAAACCTGTTTTCTTATATATTATCCAGTCTCAGGTATTTCTTTATATCAATGCAAGAACGGCCTAATACAATAACTCTATATAAAATTATATTTAAAGTCTGTAACTTTTTTGAGGTAGGTGTTACCATTATTCTCATTTGACTGATAAGAAAACTGAGGCTAATGGAAGTTAGGTTGTCTTTCCCAGGGGCCCGAGGAACCAGTGATGAAGCTGAGATTATAGCCTAGAACTGTTGGATTCCAAAGCTCATGTTTTTATACTCTATAGCAGCTTCTATAGTAGCTTTATTTGGAGAATGTGTGCATGCCTGCATGCACGCGCGCGCGCACACACACACACACACACACACACACACGCTTCCTATTTTTATAAAGTGCTGCCCTAGGGCACAATTAGCCACTAGTTTGAAAACTCATTCATCCAGCTGCAGTAGATACTAGATGTGGCTGGAAGATGAATGACAACAGTATGTGAGAACAGCCTAGGAAAAAAGGAAGGTCCAAATTCCCAGAAAAACAACCCCCAGAAAGGCAGCATCTGTGTTGACTTATAAAAATAGAAAAGTGGGGAAACCTTGTGGTTTAGAAGCAGAGACATGACATCCTGTGACGTGAAGAAGTGGTGGCTGACGTCCCTGTGAACAATGGCCACAGATGCCAGGCCACAGAGAGAACACTGCACGAGGGAAGAGCCATGTATCACCAGCTGTGGGACGTGCACAGGAAGGAAGCGTGGGCCAACAGCCGGGCCTCCGAGGCTGCTGTGAGGAGTCAAGAATTTGATCAATGCCGGATGCATAAAGTGGCGCCTGGCACGTAGGGAGTGCTCGGTACAGGTTGTTACTACTGTTAGTATTCTCTTCATGTGGACCATTTCTCCCAGACACAGGGGACAGAAACAGTAGCTTTTTTGAAGGAGGAGGTAAGGATCAGATTAACAAGCCCTCCATTTATGGTGGAGGTGCCTGCTCCATTAATCCAATCAACTCAACCTTTAAATAACACTTGTGCAAATACATCCTGGATGACGCTCGTGAGGAAAATGTGGTATTCTTTCTGGACTTTTATAACACAAAAAATCAGAATGCATTTTATCACGCTAAAGCAGGCTGGAAAGGGTAATTTGGATTTCACTTGTGGTATGCTCCATAGTAATTTTCTGTAAATGAAGATCCAAGTTCTAGGGTGGGGACACTAAATATACAACATCCGATGATTTGAAAATATGTTTTATTTTTTTCTCCATGCTTTCCATCTTTTCAGCCCCATGGGAATTTCTTCCCTTGAACTGTTCTAAAGAATCACAGCATTAGAGATAGAAATTATTAGGTTATTTAAACCATCTTTCTGCTGATGAGGAGATATTCCTGTAGTCCAATTTACAGTGCTATTCTGAGTGTGGCTTTGAACAACGTGGCTTTTATCAGATGAACTGTGGTGGAGATGGAGGCCTCTGTTTGTGTTCAGAACAGGTCTAGCCCAGGGAGGAACGAGGAAGACCTCTCAAAGGCACACCTCCGCACAGCAGGCCTGATCAGCTGGCTGGAACTCAGAAGGGCAGAAGGGGAGTGAGGCTCCGCTTTGATGTGGTTTGCTTGCAGCCCCGTTGCTGTGCTGTGCTGTGCATATGTTGGGGGCAGGGCAAGGGTAATAAATACCAGGGACAGTTTTGCAATGCATGCCTGTCAGCTGAGCACCGGACAAACATTTTTTACCACTGGCTATTTCCCTGAGGCTTCTGACAGTTTGTGCAACTTGTGTAAGACATTCCTGAAAGAGAGGAGCATTTGTTCAACTTACATAACTTCTTTTTACATCATAAGACTAAAGCAGTCCTTCCGGGCTCGTGTCCTGTTGAATGTGGTCCAAGTGAAACTTCTTTCCTTTGCATACTCAGAAACCAG